AAAAAAAAAAAAAAAAAAAAAAAATCCTGCAGAAGGAATTGCACTCTCGGGCGGGTGTCTGGATAAACGAATAGCGAATAGTCCCGAATAGGAAATGGTACGAATAGCGCAAATAGTGCGAATAGTGGCGAAAAGTCGTGAACAGTGACGAGTGGTGGCCAATAGTGGCGAATAGTGGCAAATAGGGGTGGGAGGGAGAGGAATAGCGACGAATGACAGTAGTTTGCTACCCAGTACCTAGTAGTTAACCTCGCATCAACGTGGGATGGGATTTTGCTGCTAAAAAGCTATTCGCGACTATTCGCTAGTCGCTATTCGGGTTTTCCAGACACCCCTGTCGGGCGTACAAGCTGTACCCGCCTACATGCCAAGTTGGCAGCCACTTTATACTGCAGTTTTGATTTATTTGTTGTCCTGGTGGAATCCTCACTTGCCTAGTTTTCTCTACAATTAGGAAAACGGACATTTTTCCCTTTCAAGGCTGACACATTTTGTGCGTAGCAACTTCATCATGCACACTGGTAACCAAACACCCTCGCAGAAAAAACACTTATAGCTAGCCATGGCTTAAAGTGATTTAAAAGAAGCATGTGCCACAAACAGCCATTCTGCTAGATTTGGTTGCATTTAAGCAACCACATACCGTGTTTTGAAAACTTCGGAATATAGGAGTGACTTCACAACTGACATGTACGTATGAATGACGATTGTGGACACAGATGTGCACACCCATGGCGAACTATTAGTAACACTTCTCCTAAGATGGCCGCGAAGATCAACGTTGGACAAACGTCGTAATCAAAGACAATCATAGAGGTGTTAACACAACTGATGCGGTTAGTATGAGCAGTTTCAATATATTTTAGGTTCTTAGCAAAGTAAACTACGCATTACCATTCAATTCAAATCGATACATTAAATTTATCGGCTCAAAATCGTGGAAAATGAGGAAGGAAGGAAGGTGTGAGTGAGTGAGTGACTGACTGACTGACTGAGTGACTCATTCCCCTTTTGATCTCCCATCAACAAATTTCTATTTTTATCGTGTTAAGCAAAGAAATTTAGCGAGAAAAGAGGTAAGAAAAACCATTGAATTGACAATTATATTTATATTGAGTTCACTCTTCCAATAGTCAGTACCCTATGATATAAAAGAAAGTCCATAAAAGCTGTCTTAGACAACAAGTTTATTCTCTTACTTGTATTTGTCTACAAATCAACTGAAAAAAGTCTATCCTTATGTAAAATCCCGCAAGAAAAATTGAAAGCTGTTTTTCACAAAATTTAACTTTGTATCTATAGTCATTAACAAATTCTAAAACATATCCTTGAATTGAAGTATCGAATAATAATTTCGAGTAAATGCTTTTCAATAAAAAACAAACGACTAAACAAAAATAGAAACAAAAGAAACAAACAAAAAACTACCGCTTTTATTCTACTTGTTGTCGTCTTAATTTTTCGTTAAACCTTTACTTGGACTCCCTTGGCAGCCCAGAATGAGCCTCCGCATGCTCATGAAGTTTAACGATGTTGTAATCTCTGTCGTGGCTCAAAATCTCAATGCGATGATCCACAAAGTGATAATCTGGCAGTTGGACAACCTTCTTAGCTCTGTAAAGTTGAAAAAACGGACTCGGATCAGTGACATTAGGAAGAGTGAATCAGCATGCAACAGCACAATACTCATATTTTACTAATAAAAGATCCTTGCTCTAATCGTTGCCAGCTTCTGAAGTTGACTAACCTGTCAAAACACAACTATCTTAATACCTCCTACGTAAAGTTATTGGTCTTGCCTTGTGATCTAGACAGTTTTGCAGTCGTGTTCACTCGTAATTGAACAGTTGCGTCGGTCTGGAGCTAAGGTCACTAATTCCACTCTAACAGTGACCGCTAAGAATGATTCATTTCTTTAAGAATTTTTTTTCTTTACTCCATATTCTAAATCATAAAGGCACTTAAACGCATAAGAAACTTACTTGTAAGTAGTTTTGAAGTCACACCGGTAATGGCCACCTCCTTCAAGCAACAGAGCCATGTTAACATCACCCTTCAGCACTCCATCACGCACATACATTTTCTCAGTGGAGGGCTCCCATTTCTTCGTGGTCTTCTGCAAAACTGGACCTTTGGCGGGAAAGTTTACTCCATCAAATCGAATTTTATAGACAAAACAGTTGCCTTCCATCCTGACGAAAGAGAGGTGAGACATAGTGTTACCGGGCAAATATACGATAAACAAGGATATTTAACGGTTAGTTGGCAATGTGATTTAATAGACACTTGTACATTATGTTATAAGAGCGCCATCACGTGGGACAATAATCCTCTTTTTTTAAAATTTTCTGTATCTTTTTTTCGTAGCCGCTTTGGAAAAGAGGTCTAAACGTTCAATACAAAACAGTTTTTAATGACAATTTCCATAGTCTTAACAAACTTACAAGAAAGGAGTAAGAAAAATTATAACTGTACTACTAGATGCAAGAATAAAACTCCAACAAAATGATGATTAAAGAATAAGAGGGGCACAAATCAAAGTGATGTGATTAGAACTAAACAAATTTTGTCAACCCCAGAGTCACTAATTTCCCCTAGGATGCATCAGCTTCACATCTTACTAACGTTATGTCGTTCGTGGCGATGCAAATGCCCCCATCTTCGTAAGTCATGCTTCGTTCCCATGAATAGCCTTCGGGAAACGACTGTTTGAAATAATCTGCTATATCTCTTGGGTATTTGGCGAATACCCTGTTGCCGTAATCGAATACTGTTGTCAAGATATCGTAGGCGAAGGGCAGAGGTTCGCCTTCTTTGACTGTAAGGTCCATAGTATGTTTTCCCCTAAAACATAAACAAGAAACCAAAGAAATGACAAAAGGTATTGTTCAGATGCGCAAAGGCCTAATAATTAATGACGTCCGAAACCTATTTGATTTAATCGATATAAGGAACTCTAACATTTCTAAAATTCAAAGATAAAATATTCTTAGTGTTATAGCATCCTAAGTTCTTCATTTGAATGAACGAGTTGCTTGGTCTTTTAAATAATGTTCACTTTGTCAGTGCTTACTTACAAAAATGACACCTCAATGACATCTTGTTGCAGCAGGATCCAAAGTATGAGTGGTAGAGAAAGGACAATTGAATAAAAAATACTTAGTTCTCTAATCACGTCATAGAGGGTGTGTCCTCCAATCTGGCTTAAGCCCTTACTTGACTGAACGAAAACGTTTGTGTTCGGTAAATTTTGCCTGGCTTAGAAACTTTCATCAGGAGCCTGTACGAATTGACTTATTTATATAGGCGCACGGACCGGGGGGACGCAGCCTCCCCTCCTTCCCCCAGCTGGAGAAATTTTTGAAACTTTTCGGTGAAAGCGCTGACGATTCGGGCAAAATTAAAGTACGTGGGAGAAAACATTCCAAAAGCTAGAAGCCCAGGCCCGAGTTGCTCAAAAGGTGGATAACACTATCCACAGGATAAATCACTTTCTAGCGGATAGCGTGGTTTGTTTTGTTAACACTTATTCACCGGAAAGCGATTTATCCGGTGAATAGCGTTATCCACCTTTCAAACAACTGGGGTTTGCCTTCTATATATAGACTAAAATGAATTTCTTTGACGTTTGCGTTGTCAAAACGGAGTTAAGATCAAATGATGTAGGGATCTAGTTATTCTGTTTTGGAAATTAAAGCCATGTATCGTTTAACTGTGTATCGCGGAAATCCACGAAATAGATTTTAATTATTTCCATCAATAAAACAATGACAAAAGAATCAGAGCAAACGAAGACAAAGACCTTTGGTGGTGGCTCTGAATAAAGCCGTGTTGAATGGCTCCAAAAAGAGCCGTTTTAAAATTTTCTTGAACTTTTCGAACGAGAAAGAATTAACTGTTTCTTTCATAAGTTTCTGATTTTACTAGGCTAAATCATTTTGGAATGATAACATTTTCATAAGACGTGAGAATTGTGAAGGCTTTTGCTTTTTCTGCCCGATTCGAGTGCGTTCGAACAACACTCGCGCTTTCGGCCGGGCATTCTGTAATTTTTTTCGGCCAATAAGCCCAAGTCCGAAGATACCCGTATGCCTATGCTTATTTAACAGAAGAAGTTAAAACGAAACTTTTAGCCCTATAATTCTTGTGCAAATATAAGCTATCGATTTCTAGGCCAGAGTAAAAAACAAATGTTTAAAAGCCTTGGTTTTGCTATGACTCTCTTAATCTAAGAACTGTTCGAAGCAATGCGACCGTTGATATGAAGACAGATGTTAAACAGTTCAACTTTTACTGACTTACTCGAAGGGCTTGCCTTTTCCTTCTCCTTCAATCGTGAACTTGTGCCCGTTTACAGCGCCTTCCATACGCAGCTTGATCTCCATGTCTGGTTTAATCACACTCTGTGGAATGAAATTGTGGTAAATCTGAGATCTGCGAATCTTGGAATCTGAAGCAAAACCTTTTCTACGTACAACACTCACCATGATGGTAGACGTCAAAGCACGTTTTCAGCCTTATACAGCTCGATGTTCTCGATCTACTCTCTACCTAATCACTGGAATAAATGGGACCTCAGCTCTAAGAGATGCTGCTATAAATCTGAATGTCACACCCAAACTCTACTTGAACCAATCCGATAACAGAAACCTTTTGTACCAACGCTGATTTGATGTCCATCATAAACCTCATTTCGTTAGGGTCAATTTGTCAGGGGTTTTTCCAAGCTTAAGCCGCAGTGACTTCTACTTTAAATACAGTTGCACGCACAAAACAATTCTTCATTGGTGCGACAGATTATTAAATTCCGATTTGTAAACACGCAATAACACCAGACGACTCTTACACGGCTTCAATATGAGACGGAGAAAAATAGGAAACAGGAGGACTTAAAAATAGTTTTGAGTTTAAAATTGAAAAATGGTATCATCAAAAATGTGTAAGGGCTGTTTAACAGATCAAAACAAAGGTCATTATTAACAATGAGGCTTAATTAATAAATGTAAAGAAAATGCATAGCAATAATATGCTGCCCCTGAAAGGACTCCCACTTTGGCTTAATTTACAACGCTTAATTGGCTTGTTGTCGATCATACATGACCGTATCGCGGGCTAAATTTAAAAGTACGTACGCTTTGGCTTAAGGTAGCTTAGTGGGTTTGTTATAGATCATATATGAAATTACCTTGTAAAATAGATGTCGGCGATTTTTGTTTTCGGTACACAGAAGAGAAATTAGCAGAAATTTGATCAAAAGTCGATCAAACAAAAAATAATTAATTTTGGACTTGCAACGAATCGATCAAGCATTAGCCGGTTTCACTGAAGTCGAAGCCCCCGTGGGTTCTCTCAGGTTTCTCAGTAAGCCGACATCAGTCGACATTTCTCATCACCTGACTTTGATTTTCATGGCAAACGTTCGCACTTCGCGAATGTTAGTTTACTTTCTATGATCATATTTGTCATCAGTTCTGAAGTAAAATTATCGCACGGTGATTGTGTTTCTCACCAAATTTGTTTCAAGCCGAACAAAAGGCTTTAAAGGCACCGTCGTCTCGCCTTAGAGCAGGACGACAAAGCTGACAGATTTTATTTTATTTTTTTTAATTTATACGCTTTAATCTGAAGAAAAACATTCATTAATCTTAATTTGATATTGCTTTTCAAAGAGCTTATCCAGGCCAAAATATACATTATGCTATCAAACTATGAGCATGGATAACGAAAGAGGTTATAACGACGGCTCTTCTTACTTTGGGATGTTAACACGCGTTGCCGCAGAATCCACTCAACTTCAATGGCTCGCAAATTTAAAGATAGGTTGCACGTCCAGGTACAAATAAAGTTGGATCAGCACAATATAATTCCTGTTCAAACTTCCCATGATTGACACTTCGTGGTTATTAAATACCGTAATATGGTGTTTCCAAGCGCCTACACGATTACCAAAATTGACAGACTTTGTTGAGATATTTGGATGAGCCAGACCACTTTTATCAACTCAGTGCATACGGTACCTTATAAGCATATTTGATAATGGAATGGAAGAGCTTGAAAACGCAGGAATTCCGAAGAAGTTCAACAATATATTCAGCGTATAAGCTATGCTAATACACGTTTGTTTACCTTGTAATCATATCCGTCATCAGTTCTGAAGTGAAATTAACGCACGGAGATTGTGCTTCTCACCAAATTTGTTTCAAGCCGAACAAAAGGCTTTAAAGGCACCGTCGTCTCGCCTTAGAGCAGGACGACAAAGCTGACAGATTTTTTTTAAAATTTATACGCTTTAATCTGAAGAAAAACATTAATCAATTTTAATTTGATATTGCTTTTGAAAGAGTTTATCCAGGCCAAAATATTACATTTTGCTATCAAACTATGAGCATGGACGACGGAGGAAGTTATAACGACGCTTCTTCTTACTTTAGGATGCTAACACGCGTTGAGGGAGAATCCACTCAACTACCGTGGAACGCAAATTTTCATTCAAGTTGCGCGTCCAAGTACGAGTAAAGTTGGATGAGCACAATATAATTCCTGTTCAAACCGCCCATGATTGACATTTCGTGGTTATCAAATACCGTAGTATGGTGTTTCCAAGCGCCTACACGATCACCAAAATTGACAGAACTTGTTGAGATATTTAGGTGAGCCATACCACTTTTATCAACTCAGTGCATACGGTACCTTTACAAATTAAAATGAGACCTGAACAGTTTGTTGACATTCTCTCTTTAATTCTATATTTCATTTAATTCAGTTTTCTTTTAGGACTCGTTACACCCCTCCAACTGAAACACATGAAGTATGAAACTTAAGGGTTGCCGCGTACCAAAGTCGATCAGTGCCGCTTGCGCTTGTACTGAAAACAATGTTTGTGAGTTTGCATGGTATTGGCCTAGTCAGTAGTGCGAGTGATATCCGCTATCTTGCTTTTGTCAGAAAAGTTCTGTTTCAGACGCCTCAATATACACTTGTAGAATGTGACAGTTATGTATATGTGACACTCCAAGTGCTGACCATTCTAGAAGCACGTGAACGGGCGTTAATTGTCCTTCTACAAGTTTTTTTTAAAAACATATGAGATAAATACCAGTCAAGAAAGGCCATTGCAAAAGATTTCCTGCTTATACTTTGGATTAGGGCTATTTTGTGTTGTCTTCGAGAACATTTTCAATGAGAAATGAAAACGTCCCGGACCCAAAGCACAATTAACATTCCAGAAATACTTGCATGTAGTGTTCACTTTTTGCACCGAGAAATCAAGGGTGAATGAAATCATCGTGTTTTCTCTGGGCTACACATGAAGCAATAATGATAAATAATGATATAAAATTGTAAGATTTCTCAACAAAGATTTCGAGATGGACTCCTTATCGGATTATTAAGTTAGTAAGACTGAAACATCTTAACTTTTAATTTTACTCACAACTAACGATTTCCACAAAGATGGACATTCGCTGTACAAAGCAGTCACGTTTAAGCTAACCCATAGTCATCATGTAAACATTGGTTCAAGTCTACCGTACTAGCTGCCAATGAAAATTTTTCCAAACTACTTTGCCATTTAGCTTCCACTTACTTATTTTGTTGCCCTTAATACTGTTTTGGAAGAGCGACGAATTGATCAATTGAATTTGTCTTGATCGGTTTGCGAACTGAACCGGCCTTTCTCAAGTAGACCAGGGTGAAGTGTGTTATTTACCCCGTTCAGAATGACGTGAACTACGAAGAACGCGTGCGACTTTTGCAATTTTCTTTTAGAACAAAAATATGAAAGTAAATTATAATAATCAATTTTCATGTTAGACTATAATGCATGGAGGTTACACCCGATGAATTGCAATGACCGAATCAAGGTCTGTACAATATGAAATCACTGTACAATTTATTTTCAACTCTGTTATGAATGTCGTTTGTACACAATCCGTAAATTTCATACTTAATTAATTCTTTCTGAACACTGTTATTTATAAGTATCACAATATGGATCAAAATGCTCAAAATTATTTCGAAAGTTTAGATTTAATTAATACCACTAATTTTCTTTCTTTCTTTCTTTTTTTTTTGTTTTTTCTAATCTTCCACTAATGTGCTAGCGCTTGATTAGGTCAATTTGCCGGCGAAAGAATGGCCGTTATAATTAGCGATTTGGAAAAGTCCCATGATGGAAACCTACCAGTAAAGTCAGTGGAATACATCTCTTTCTTGTCTCGTCTCTTATTCTTTACTCGCTTTTTGTCTTTATTTATTTATTTATTATTATTATTATTATAATTATTTATTATTATTATTATTAATATTATTATAGATGACTTTGAAAAGGATGGTTAATTCTGCGGAAAAAGATCTTTTGCCCAAAAGTAAGTATTACCTCGTAGTCCTCGTAAATAAGCGACATGAAGGATATCAGTCTTTAAGGTTATTTTCTACGACAACTTTATTCCAAGATCTCACATCAGAAAGTTTAAGAATCAGAAATGTCGAATTATAGCAGGTTGCTTAGTGATGTAGGACGAAAAGAAAAAGGGATATATAGCAGAGCGAAGTGCGTGCCTTTGGGGAAGAACACGGCTCACAGCCTCGCCTTCTTTTCGCCCGAACGCTCTCGAGAGACCATTTCAAACAGTTATATATTAAATACTGAACTTGAGACAATGGCGATCAAAATTCATTCAGCAAATGTCCATACGGAATGATAGGCTGGTGACGCGATACGTTCAAACAAATCGTGCGTGAAAGCTGAAGAAGGTATCTCTTGGGTGGGTGTTTACGCAATTGTTCGAATACAGCATGCCTTCCTAACTTTTTTGGGGCTTCTTGTATGATTTCTTGGACATATTCACGCCATATTTTTGATACATTTGTACCGTTCATATTATATGGGCGATATATGGGATTTCTAGTCTTTTGTTTGACTGGAGCAAACAAAAGTGCTTGGCCGGGGAATTTTACTTCAATTTTTGGTTACAGTTTGGATATTAATGCACTGCCAGTTGTGGTGCTCGTATTGCGTCAGATAAGGCAGGAGATGTTCAATGGCTTTATGATGAAAAGCGTTGAAGATTGCATCAAAAAACACAGTAGGAAGAACTAGAGATTCTCATTTATACCAGACATTTTTCTTCTTCGCTCAAGGACAACACTTGCTCCATTGTGGAATTTATAATCCAACACTCCTACAGCCGGCTCGTAATCCAACAGCCACTTTTCCACGGCTTGAAACGGTGAGGTATTTCTCATGTTGCCTGGAGTAAATGCGTTATGCCTCAGAACGGTATCGTCGTTTATGAATATTTAATAATGGTAGCCCGATCTCCCATTCAATGCTGCAAAAAAGAGTACATTTCTTCCTGACGCCCAGCCGGTCTTGGGATCAAACAAATAACTGACGTGTGATTGATTGTCTTGTGGAGTCCGACATCTGGCACGAAAACGTAATACTATGACATCACAGTCGCAAGTCTTGGGATCACCAATTTGAGAAGATGTTGCCAAGTTGGCAGGAAGGCACTGCTTGGTCTCTGTGAGATAGATAAATGGCTTCATGCCTGGCAATTCCATGCGCCTTTGTGTTGCGCCGTGTTCATGAAGGTGAAAGTTGTTGTAGGTAAAAAATGTAATCTCTGCCTGCCGGATAACCTTGTTTAACTTGTGAAAGGTTTCCGACACATAAAAAACCACGCCGACTAATATAACGGAATTAAGGGCTAACGTGTATACAAAGCTTACCCTTAACTTCATTTCAGGAGAATGCAAGAAAGGTCTTTATGCGCGTTGCGCAGTTTGGAAAAACCTGAAGGAGAACCAAGTTTAGTCGCTGATCAGAATAAAAAGGTAAATAACTGTTAAATATTTAACACTTAATGACTGGCCCCAAGAGTACAAGTGAATTTTGTTTCCCGAGAATTTCATTGTTTCTCGAGACGAAGGCGAGGGAAACATAGAGATTTTTTACATAGCAAAACAAAAGCAAAAGCAAATTTTGAAAAACGCGCTGAGATTCCAGCGACAACATCAGGCCACCTTCAACTGCACGCTCTGCAGATCACGTGCAACGGCGGTCAACCTTTCGCGGGTAATAGTGAACTGTTTCCCACAGTTTTCGCAATGTTGCCCGCTCGTGGCATTTGGCGGTAAAAAGTTCCATTGTTAGATGTCATGTGACCATGAACTAGCCAATGAATGGGCGCGCTGTTGCGGGAAAAACTCCACCTATAGGGGAATCCTTGGGCACTTTCAATTCGACCAAAAATTCCGGTGAGAATTTTCGGAAATTTCCATGGGCGAATGGTACAGACTTTTCCAGCGTGGAAAACCTCAAGCCGCACAGGTTTGTTCGCCTGGAATTTTTCAATGACTTCGAGGTTTAAATCGCAAACATAGAGGCACAACAGACCACAACAGCAGGGACCTTATACAAACCACAACGGCAGCGAAAAAGTCGCAACAAAAGGGTTTAATGAGTCGTAAAATGGTTCTGCACGCGTTATAAATCTTTGTGCATTTCCTAGCCAACCTTTGCAAAACAATCAGGCCATTATTTTTATAAAACGCTTTCTTCACGAATTTAGCTACAGCTAGTATTTATCGACATATAATTGGAAGGATTCTAAAGTATTTTCATTTTCGAATACGCGTCGCCGTCATCCTTGCGTGAGATGTCCAACACGCTGTGATCGCGGCCAAAAGAACTAACGCTGAATAGGAAATTGCGAATTTGTAACCTCGCAAGGTATACCGAAGTGCAAGGAGCGCGTGGTAGTGTTTAGGTGATCGCCTGTCATCAACGTGAATAAATTTGGAAGTGTTGTCAACTGAAGTAGCGCTCAGAAGGCGAATATACTCAGTTTTGTCCATCACAACGACTCCCGAGCCTTTACCTGGTTTGGTAATAACGATGACGTCGCGTTTCTTTAAACAATTCAGGGCTTTAGAGAGAGCCTTGGGTGGATTGAGACTTGAACGCAGAATATAATTTAAGGCGATTGAGCGTAACAATTGAGGAAATTGCAAATACACTCTCTCCGAAAAGTTCCAGGCTTGCCCATCTCTATGGCCTTCCTAAGACTCAGAAAGCCACGTTAAGTATGAGGCCCATTTTATCTGCCACCAGAACGTACAATTATAAGCTCGCCAAGTGGCTTGAAGAAAAGTTTGGAGTTCAATTTGAATGACGTTAGACATGTGAATGTAACATTTATTTACCCTCGGCAGTGTTTATAGCACAAAGGCTAGTGGGGTCAAGCAAATAACTGAAAGAAATAATTCAAATTAAACATAACCAGTTGGCCATTTACAAGCGTGGCCGAGGATTTGAACTCGGGGCTGCCGTGATCATGAAACAAATCCAGGTGGTGGTCAGAGCGGGACTTGAACCCGGAATCGCTGTATTGCGAGTCGTCGCGATGGCCACTCGGCCAGGCTGCGTCCACGGACATTCCCAGGACATTCCCGAAGCGGAACAATAATTCCCTTAGTAGCAGACGACAAACTTGTCCAGTATTCTCTACTTAATGCCTTTCTTGTAGTATTTTGCGAACAGCTGTGCTCGTTGATCGTAATTTTTCTGTATACGACCAACGTTAGCCACGAAATTACTTAAGAGAAAACTACTATTATAAAAAAAAAAA